ATAAGAATGACACCTGGATTTCAGAGGTTAAGTTATGAGGAGAGATTGTACAAAACAGGCCCATTTTTCGCTAGAATTTAGAAGGTTAAGGGGTGATTTGATCAAAATCTTCAAGATATTAACGGGAAAAGACAGGATAGATCAACTATTTCAAATAGTAGGAGATTCTAGAACTAGGAGGCATAACCTGAGAATTTGGACTAGACCATTCAGGAGAAAAATTAGGAAGTACTTCTCTACACAAAAAGTGGTAGAGGCTTTTCCACAAATGACACTCAAATGGTAGATCATTTGTTAATTTTAAATGTGAGATGTGAAATGTATGTTAAGCAAAGGTATTAAGGGTTATGGGTAAAAGGCAGGTACATGGAGTTAGGGACACAGACCAGCAATGATCTCATTGAATGGTGGAACAGGCTCAAGGGGCTGAATAGCCTACTCCTGTTCCTATGTTTGATGGACTACATTTGTTCCCACTCTCTAAATTTTAATTGCCAGCGTTGTATTCAAATCTCTTCATGGCTGTACCTCTCCCCAGCAATGTCCTCTATCCCAATGATCCCTGCATCCTCCAATTCTGGTCTCTCACGCACATCCAATTTTAATCACGCCATCATTGGCGACTGCATCCCAAAGCCATCAGCTCTTGAATCTCAAAGATATACCCTAAAGCCTACTTCCTCACCCAAGTTTTTGATCTATCCCAAAAAATCTCGCGTACATGGGAAGTAATTTGGGGTAGATTCAACATCACAGGTACTACATCTTTGCTTCAGTATTCACCAGAGAGGGACCTTGACATTTGTGAGGATAGAATGAAACAGGCAGATATGCTCGAACAGGTTGATGTTAGGAAGGAGAATGTGCTAGAAATTTTGAAAAACATGAGGATAGATAAGTCGCCTGGGCCAGACGAGATATACCCAAGGTTGCAACAGGAAGAGATTGCTGCCCCTTTGGCAATGATCTTTGTGTCCTCACTGTCCACTGGAGTAGTGCCAGATGATTGGAGAGTGGCAAATGTCATTCCCTTGTTCAAAGGAGGGAATAGGGATAATCCTGGGAATTACAGACAGTCAGTCTTACTTCTGTGGTGGGCAAATTATCGGAGAGGATTCTGAGAGATAGTATTTATGATTATTTGGAAAAGCACAGTTTGATTAGAAATAGTCAGCATGGCTTTGAGGGGGGCAGGTCATGCCTCACAAGCCTTATTGAATTCTTTGAGGATGTGACAAAACACATTGTTGAAGGCAGAGCAGTGGGTGTGGTGTATATGGATTCTAGCAAGGCATTTGATAAGGTTCCACATGGTAGGCTCGTTCAGAAAGTAAGGAGGCATGGGATTCAAGGAAACTTGGCTGTCTGGATACAAAACTGGCTGTCCAATAGAAGACAGAGGGTGGTAGTAGATGGAAAATATTCAGCCTGGAGTTCGGTGACCAGTGGTGTTCCGGAGGGATCTGTTCTGGGACCTCTGCTCTTTGTGATCTTTATCAATGACTTGAATGAGGAAATGGAAGGGTAGATGAGTAAGTTTGCCGATGACATGAAGGTTGGTGGAGTTGTGGACAGTGTGGAGGGCTGTTGTAGGTTGCAACTGGACATCGACAGGATGCAGACCTGGGCTAAGAAGTGGCAGATGGAATTCAACCCAGAAAAGTGTGAAATGATTCATTTTGGAAGGTCGGATTTGAATGCAAAATATAGAGTTAATGGCAGGATTTTTGGCAGTGTGGAGGAACAGAGGGATCTTGGTGTCCACGTCCATAGATCCCTAAAACTTGCCACTCAAGTTGATAGGGTTGTAAAGAAAGTGTATGGTGTGTTGGCTTTCATTGGCAGGGGAATGGAGTTTAAGAGCCGTGAGGTTATGCTGCAGCTCTATAAAACTCTGGTTAGACCACACTTGGAATATTGTGTTCAGTTCTGGTCACCTCATTTTAGGGAAGATGTGTAAGCTTTAAGAGACGGTGCAGAGGAGATTTACCAGGATGCTGCCTGGACTGGAGGACAGGTCTTATGAGGAAAGGTTGAGGGAGGTAGGGCTTTTCTTATTGAAGTGAAGAAGGATGAGAGGTGACTTGATAGAGGTGTACAAGATGATGAGAGGCATAGATAGGGTGGATAGTCAGAGACTTTTTCCCAGAGCAGAAATAACTATTACGAGGGGGCATAATTTTAAGGTGATTGGAGGAAGGTATAGGGGAGATGTCAGAGGTAGGTTCTTCACACAGAGTGGTGGGTGTGTGGAATGTGCTGCCAACAGTGGTAGTGGAGTCAGATACATTAGAGACTTTTAAGCGACTCTTGGCTAGGCACATGGAGGACAGTAAAATGTAGGGAATGTAGGGTATGTAGGGTAGTTTGATCTTAGTAGGATAATAGGTTGGCACAACATCGTGGTGCAAAGGGCCTGTACTGTGATTTACTGTTCGATGTTCTCCATGTTCTAAAAATGCAAACAGTTGTTGCTGAAATGAACTTGAGACCTGAGTGCCAACACAGTTCAGCCATACTCCAAAGCCTGAGGAGACATTTCTCCAGATGGGCATTTGGACAACACTGTTGGGGAGGGACAAACAAAATGAGGGGGAACCAAGACAACTGAAAATATAAATTCAAGAAAGAATTAAGTTGAACATTTCAGGGAAACAAAAAAAAAATGTTTATTCAAAAAAGGTTTTATTCAAAAAAAAAGCACAAAAAGGTAGCAAAATGATTTATAATTTGACTTTTCTACAATGGACAATGTTTTTTTCCACGTTTTCCTTTAAATCCAAAAAAATATAAATTCATTACAACTGGTGAAAGCAGCAGAGAATTACATATAAATGGTACCAACTTCACAGCATGGGGAAACATAGCTACATACAGAATTCAGGGCGGGAGAAAGAGGGAAATATCATCTTTTGGAGAGCAAATTCTAAACTACCTGCATTTCCCCCCACCTCCCTCCCTGCCCAGTTTAAACATGTAAAAACTATACAAAACCCTTTTCTTTAAAAAAAAACACATTAGCACACTTCCTATCCAAGCTGTACACAATATTACAAAATGACTGGAGCCAAACTTGGGCCTTTTTTTGCATCATTTAAAGACATACCCTGTATAGAGAGAACACGTCTCTCAAGATAACCAAAACCCTTCCAATCTTATCAATGGCCTGCCTGTCAAAAGAAATGATAAACTATAGGACGTTTTCTGAAAGCTTAAGCAAAAGACTTCTGGCATATGACCTGGAGGAGGGGGTTGCCATTTGAACATTAACATCCGGAAGTGATCCATCTAGAAGTCATTCAGAAAATTGAAGTATATGTACAGTTTCCAAAGTCATGAAATTTAGATAGACACATGTACATATAATTGTTTTGTAAAGGAATAAAAGAAAATGAGAGAAAACATCAGTATTTTTCTTTCTCCCAGAACAATGATAAACTATATATATATTTATATATATATATATATTTAAAATGCAAGTTATCAATTATTGTACTTTTAAAAATCTTAGGTTTCCATGCACTGACAAATAAAACCCTGGCAATTATTACACTGCACTGGAGATGTTGTTCAAAGTATCTTGCTGAATGAAATGAGAGTGGCTGTACGTGACTGAGAATAGGACTGCACTCTTCACACCATCCCCCCAACCCCATAACATTGTCCACGCTCATCCTGATGGTTGAATGGAATTTATAATTATCGAGTAAGAAACAAAAATATTAAAATTGGGCCTGGCTCTTATTCTAGCAGCAACTCGGATGTTTCCAATATGCTGGGTTCTGCTGTAGGAGCTTGACAAAAAAGGTAAAAAAGATTTTTCTTAGGTTTTGCCCAATAGCAAATATTTGCTTTCAGAACAAATGAATCATATTTTCACAGGGAACGATCCTGGAGGCTCATATCAATATACGTATACATATCTTAAAAATTCAGTTTTGATTAGAAGTCAAATGTAGCTTATGAGTAAATTGCAAGATGCCCAGGATTTTGGTATAGATTAACAATAGGTAGATGAAATTTTCATCATTTGAAACAAAATATTCCCTTTTTCAAATCACCCATAGCTCTTCTACATTGGTATCTGAACAGAATATCTGGATCAATACAATGCCAGGGTACAGATCAGTCGTCATATAATACTGGTATATGGTAGTGGTGTGTGCAGGTCTATAATTGTATCACAGTAGGGCATACTAACACACAGTACAGACCTAGTGGGTACATGGTCAGTGGAGATGGAAGCTATTTGAGGGGACAAACAAAGAGCATGTCAATGCAGGCCAGAGTTACATTTAATGTATTGATATCAAAACATGAAAGAAATCTGAGGGACAACAGTGCAAGACATTGATCTGGAAAGAATCTGCCCAGCTAACGCACAAGTGGAAGGATTTGAAAAAAAAAAGACAGCGCTGCATGCTTAGCAGGCAGTATGGACAGCAAGAACGTGAGGTTGAGTACATTTAGTTATTGAAAATTGGAACAGGAAAGCTTTAAAACAAAAAGTCACTCCCACCTCGATTCTCCCCAAGCTTCTCTGACATGGCTTTGGTTTCAAACATTTGCTGCCAATAGTTGCTGTTCTTCACGAGTCTAGATAACGAATGTTCATGGGCTACTCGCTCATCAAAGCATGGTACTGGAACCCAGAGTGGTCCAACCAGATCCAGCACACATCTCTCCAGCACTTATTGTTGGGTGACCACCAAAGCCAGCCAAAGTTCCCCAGAGTGTTTATGGAACCACCTAGCACCCAGTGACATTCATTCACCTCAGGAGAGGTCTCATAGTTGAATACTGGATCTACCGGTCCTCTTCCCTGACTCTGTGCCAAACATAGTCGTGTGAATACCCATCCATCCAACCTGCAAACCTTCCCAACCATGACCTACCGGTATGTGATGCACACACAAAGATAATTCTAAAAATAGGGATGTGATCATGGGAACATGCATGCAAGTTACAGCCCTACATATCAAAGAAAAGGTTAGACACAACCATACAGTAATGCCACAGACTGCTTCAGTTGTTTACACAGATCCAGTTGCAATGTGCTTTATTTTGTTGTGGCATGGCTGCACAACAATAAAGCAGAGAAGTTGGTTTCACCTGTCTAGCCACCTTCCAAAACCAATCTCAATCTCAAACCGTTCACATTACAATCCAGCTAAAGCTGTGGGAGAAGGTGCAGAGAACCAAGATTCTGAACAAGAGAGCATCTTCAAATAAGGGCTGAGAACAACATCTGGGATGGCTTGACACATACGCAAATATGTGCTATGCTTTTCTCTGGCACTCCAGGATGGTGCAAGTTACTTGATTTAGCATCAGAACATCATCTCATATGAACCTGCACACTCTCCACAGACATGCAGAGGGACAGATACAACCTCAGACAATCTTAGAACTGTACATGTTAGAAACCACAAAACCTTCAGTTTCTTCCCCAAAAACCCACACCAGAATTCACTTTGTCTCTGGTCAGAGTTAAAGCCCCTTCTCTCAACCCCAATTGAATATAAAACTTGAACTCATTCTAAAACATGAACTTCTGCACCTGAAGAGCAGCAAACACTGCAGTTTTCTTTCGTGTAAACCTGTGACAAAATTGTCCTGTGGCAGTGTCAAACCGTAAACACTAAGAGATTCACAATTCCCTCCAACAAGTGTAACAGAAGAGCATACACACACAGAGGTGTAAGCAGGAGACAGCCGAAGCACGAAGTTGGGTGTTGAGATAGAGTGAAGATATCTGTATTAGAAAATGTTTCTGTTCAGGATTCAAGGGTTAAGAGTCTGGGAGTTGGTTGGGGGGCAGAAAAAGGAGAGGGGAAGGGAGAGACAACGGTTCCTCTGCAAAGTTAAAAAGCTAGTAATCTTCAATCCTTCATTAGGTCTACTAAAGAGAAATGGTCATTTGGAGTTCTAAATGACAATTCCTGTTAAAGACTGCAAGATGGTTGATAACGCTGTATGTACACTCTGGTCTCAGGATTTTCAGGTTGTCAAAGGAAAATGAGTTACAGACAGTCATGTGACATGCTGGAAGAAATTATTGCTGCTTTGAAAATGGCTGTGGGATGGTGAGGGAGAACTAGACAGTTATAGAGTACTCTGATGAGAAATTTCAATAAAATATGTTTGGCGATTTGGGTCATTTGGCAGGTAAATACACTTCAATACAACAGGGTGTCCTTCCTTCAAATAATACCATCAGTTCACTGCAGGTACTTTCAAATGAGATTCTTGTCCTCTTAAAATGAGCAATAATAAAAGTAAGGACTTGGTTCTTCTGAAGCAAAATCCTTCTGCTGGGCGGTGTGCCGATATACCAAGGTAGGTTCTTAATCTAGTCAAGTTCTTGGTTATTTAAAATAAAAAGGCGCAAGTTCACAATGCATGTGGAATTTAGGGTCCATCTCCTCTCGGCTTCTTGTTCACGCTTATTAGCTTGCTGTTCCAATGAAAGGAAGAGAAGACAGGGAGTGTTAATCTTACGAAAGGAAGTCAAGTTTATATCACCTTACAAACAATAGCAAATGGGTTACTCAGAGGGTCATGTTTAAGCCCTTAGACAGGTCTTTGACTCCTTTGAACTGATCTTTCCAGAAAAACAATATAACAAATATTTTTTGGCATCAGTTCACCATCTCCTTGGTCACAAAAAGTTTGGTTCCTGTAATTCTTGCTGGTAACCTGCTGCAAGACAAATTTGAAGCAACTCTGAACTGCTAAGGTAAACAGACCTCAGATGCCCCGGTCTGCACCGCATTAGCTGATTTCGGGCTCAGCAACAACATGGACATTCCACGTGACCTCAGCACAGGAGGGAAAGAGGCAAAATAAATTCATCCACGATTTTCCACTTCTGGCGTGGCAATGTAGGGACCTCTTCTGGGTAGGGTCAGGATGGACTGTGATTTTCAGCTAAGTAGCCTTGTTGATATTCAGCATGAAGAGTCAGACACAAAACACAGATCAAGAGATAGAATGAAGTCAGCTTTTATTCACGGGAAGGTGGGGGTGGGGGGGGTGGGGAGGTTTGGGGAGAAGGGGGAAAAGTAGGTAGTCTGCATGTTATCCTTGAGTGCCATTGATTCTAGATTTAGCTCTGCTTTAACAAAAAGGAATAAGATGTTTAGTTATTCTGTTAGCCAGGACAGATACAGCATCACATTATACAGAGAAAAACTCTGTCTGCACTGTCCCCATCAAACTTTCCCAGGACTTGTACAGCATGGGGTCAGAGACACAGAAAAGCTCCCTCCACACTACCTCAATTTGCATTAGTCTCATTTTCAGAAGAGTCCCTTAATGCAATATGTATTTTCTTTTAAGTCCAGAGCTTTCAAATTATCTCCCAACATTACAATATAACTGATTCAATGGCCCACTGGGGCAACATGTAAACAGCTCATTGCGTGAGGATGTACAAAATGAACCTCAACTGAATTTTTAACAGAAGTTTCCACAATAAAAAATACTCACTCATCAGAGGATGCACCAGATCGCTTAGTTGCGGGTCTTGCCCCATCTTTGCTGGCATCTAGAAAGCGAAACAGAAATTTGTTAGAATCAACTTTTTCCTTCTCTCCAAACTAACCATAAATGGATAACACTCTCAGCTCAATGGGTTGAAATCAAAGTTTAAAGTCTTGAAGACATAATCCAGGCTGACGCTTCACGTCATACAAAGGAAGTGCTGTATTGTTGGAGACAACAAGGTGCAGGGCTGGATGAACACAGCAGGCCAAGCAGCATCATAGGAGCAGAGAGGCTGACGTTTCGGGCCTAGACCCTTCATCAGAAAAGGGGGAGGGGAAGGGGGTT